AGATTCTCTCATTTAATTTCAGAAGTGGGAGTCGGACGTAACACGGTATGGAAAGTTTTGCGTGAACAACAATTGTACCCTTACCACATTCAAAAAGTTCAGGCACTTAAAGCTACTGATTATGAGCCGCGAGTTATCTTTTCTGAATGGTTTCTTGGAAGATGTAATCAAGATGCAATGTTTCTTAATAAAGTGCTATTTACCGATGAAGCTGGTTTCACTAGAGATGGTATAATAAATTTTCGAAATATGCATGAATGGGCTGAAGATAACCCTCACGCGGTTGTTGAACGTCACCACCAGGATAAATTTTCAATAAACGTCTGGGCTGAAGTTATTGATAATTACCTTATTGGACCATTTGTTTTGCCGAATAGGTTAAATGGAGCAGCATACAGGCTTTTTTTGGAAAATAACTTACATGAGCTTCTTGATAATATTCCGATTCAAATCAGACATAACATGTGGTTTATGCATGATGGAGCTCCACCACATTACAGCCTTGAAGCTAGACAGCACCTTAACGAAAGATTTGAGGGTAGAGTAATTGGCAGAGGTTGTCCTGTTAACTGGCCACCTCGTTCACCAGATCTAAATCCAATGGATTTTTTTGTTTGGGGTTATTTAAAATCATTGGTTTATTCCAGTCCTGTTGAAACAGTTGAAGAATTGGAAGAACGAGTTTTTCATCATTGCGAAGTTCTTAGGAATAATCCTGAAGTATTTTTTCGTGTAAGACAGTCTATGATGCGACGGTTGCGCTTGTGTGTGGAAACCAATGGTCGCCACATTGAGCATCTGCTTTATTTTTTTTTTATTTGTTTTTTTAGAATAAATATTTTTTTAAACCGTTTCTTATTATTAAATAAAAATAGTCCCACCACGACATTTGAACTACAATTATTTAGAGAGAGCTAAAAAAGTTATTTTTATTTACGAGATTCACCGAGGTAATTTAGGAAAATTGAAAATTAAGCTAAAGTGGACGAATATCTTTGGATGATGTTTTCTCGGAAACGGCTGCTCCAATCGAGATCAAACAAGTATTTCTTTTTGACGTAGTTTTCAATGTAGAATGTAAAAAAAAATATGGATAAGTCATTACCAAAAACACAAAAAAGTTATGAATAATCAAAATTTTCAAAAAATTCCCAAGTACACCCCTGACGAAATAATTTCTTTTTGAAGGTGTCAAAAGGTCACTATTATTGATCATATTTAACAGCCAAAATTTGGTTCTTTTATTTGTTTCCATTTTTAAGAAAATTCAAAAAATCAAAATAAAAAAAATGATTTCGAGAGGCTGTTGCTCGCTTAGGGGGCACTTTAGGACATAGGTCTATAGGAACTTTTTTTCCATTTTTTGGTTAAGGAATCTGCCTGAGAATTTTGGGACACATTTTAAAGGACACCCTGTATACATACAATAAGTACACTCTGCTAATATTAAAGCTGACATTTTATAATATATCTATATTATATAGATTTCTTGAACTACCTATCCCTATGTTGTGACCTGTTTATTTGGTGGTTTTATTTTTTATTTTAAATATAACATCTTATAAATAATAATAAAAATTCAATTAATAAATTAATGGAATTCAACGAAAAAACTTTGGTAGTTAAAGTCATGTGATATTCTTGTATATTATATAGGGAGTTATCAAATTCATGCACAATATTTTGCATGGGAGAAATCACAAACATAAATACATTTTTTCTCAAAAGTATATAATAACAGAAAAAAATTAAATTAGCGAATAAGAGTATTGGAGCTAATCGCTATTAACTGTTTGTTTTTATTCACTTTTTTTAATGTTTTATAACAAATTATTTTACTTTTATTAATTTTTTTAATAAAAACAATATTATCTTAAATGTTTCACTTTGTTGATAGATCCCCCCATAGTTCTTAAAAACCCCTCCCATGAATAATGTATGGATACGCCACTGACAAATACGTTAACTTTATCTCCATAAATGCATTATTCATTATTGTGTTGTTGCCAGATTTATTTTAAAACACTGGAATTTGTGCAATTTAACCTCTTAACGTCCCATGTTCCTAATTAGGAACATTGAATTCAAATAATTAAAACATTGAAAACTGTAAATTAGCTAAATTTACTAAATGTACGCCACTGTTATGTTGATATCGAAGTAAAATAATACACATAAACAACAACTAACGCCCTCTGTTTGATTGTAACAAAAGGTTAAACTTTGCAAGGCCAATGTAAATCACATTGAGTTTACACGTGTTATTTTCCGTTCGCTGTTTTTATATTTTTTGCTGATTACTGACCATTAAAAAAATACTGGTAAGTCTATTAGGTAGTATATTAGTCTATAAACATGTTTGTTTTGCTTTTTTTTCTTTTGTTTGTGCGTAACGTCATATTTTGTCAAGTTCCCAATCTGGAACAATGGACCCTGGTGGAAAATATTATAGTTCCTATTATGGAACAATGGTCACCTGTTGCAAAATATACACAGAAGTTATTTTTTCTGGAATATGGCTCATATACCTAGCGAAAGTGAGGATGAAAATTTTAGTGGTTCGGACGACGATTTTGTACCAAATAGGTCAGAAATTGAACAGTTTTTAACCTCTGAAGATGAAATCTCAGAAGATGAACTACCCACTGATGCGACTTTTAAACGTAAGAAAACATTTGGAATTAGCTGGACCAAAGTAGCAAGTAGTACAGATTTTGTTCAACCCCAATTTACTGCAGAAGATTTAGAACAGGAAACAGAGATAGGAAGACCGATACATTATTTCCAACTATTTTTCACTGATGAACTGTTGAGTATAATAACAGAACAAAGCAACTTGTATGCTTGCCAGACTGACGTGAGTAAACCTCTAAACCTTACAACTGCCGAACTGGAAACTTATATCGGAACCGTAATTTATATGTCAATTTTTGGTTTGCCTAGGCACAGGATATATTGGAGCTCAGCATGTAGAGTAGCACAAGTAGCGGATGTTATTTCCAGAAAACGGTGGGAAGAAATAAAAAAAACCTTCACTTCAATAATAACACAAATCTGCCCAGGGATCGTAATGACGTCAACAGAGACAAATTATTTAAGCTAAGACCTTTTTTAGATTATTTACAAAATAAATTTACAGACCAAGTAAAACCACAGATGTTATGCGTGGATGAGCAAATCGTGCCTTTTAAGGGCAAATCGTCACTAAAGCAATACAACCCAAAGAAGCCTTATAAGTGGTGTTACAAGGTATTTGTGTTATGCGATAGTAACGACTTGATTCACAACTTTGAGGTCTATACCGGAACGATATTTCCAGCTCCTGAAAAACCAGACATAGGAGAGAGCGGAAACATAGTCATTCGCCTAGCCTCCGTTATTCCTCGACATAAAAATCATTTACTCTTTTTTGATAGCTGGTTTACATCCATTACTTCAAACTGACGGAATTCCCTGTTTGGGTACTGTCAGAAAAGACAGGCTACCTGGTTTAGCTTTTACATCTGACAAAACTATGAAAAAGAAGGGCAGGAGCACATTTGAAGGGTATGAGGCGAAGATTGATGACGTGAAGGTCACTGCCCTAAAATAGTTTGATAATGAAAGTGTCCATTTAGTCAGCACTTTTTGTGGGTCGCAGCCTATGGATACCGTTGAACGTTTTGATCGAAAAACAAAATCAAAAATGAATGTTTACCGACCAGCTATAGTAAAACAATATAATAAATGTATGGGCGGAGTCGACCTCTTAGATGGACTTATAGCATATTATAGGACAGAAGTCGAAAATGGTACTTGAAAATTTTCTTTCACTGTATTGACTTGGTTTTAGTCACCGCCTGGTTACGTTACAGAGCTGCAATGCAACATTTACTTATGTATCAGTAAGAAGAGAAACTGCTTTGCCGCTTTCCATGTTTGACTGTCATCGACCTTTGTTCCATAATATTAACACTGACTGTTTTTTTTTAATAATAGAAAAAATAAATTTTAAAATTTACACATGTTTCTGTCCTTATCTAAAGCTACTTTTTCACAAAATAATTTTTTATCCTAATTTAAAAAAAAGCGGACGTTAAGAGGTTAAAATTTAATTTTTTTGTTAGTATGTAGTTTTGGACTTTTGAGAAAAATGCTATCTAGGTTTTTGTTTTCACTCTGCCGGTCCAACACGTCTATAAAATACTGTGCAGGGGTTTGATAACACGTTGTATATAAAATATTTCAACTTATAAACACACAATGAGTCTATTGTTAAATTTTGATATACAAAAGATAACGATATCACGTATCAGTACAACATGGATTGATTACAATGTGATACTGTTATCTTTAAAGCCATCAAAATCTTAAATAGAAAAATTTCTGGAATATATAATTAAAATAAAATTAAATGAGCGTAATAATTCTAACCAAATAATTACAAAATAAATAAAAATAAAAAATCGGCCAAAAGTAATTAATAAATTAGGTATTTATCTAAACTAGAATTGTTTTAAAGATAAAAGTAAAAAAATATATAAGTTGTAAAAAGTTCGGTCTCCACTCACTAAAATGTATTAGACATTACAAACATAAATAAATATTCAAAATTGATAAAAAGGAAAAAGAGGAATTTTCGGGAGTTTTTATAAAAAAATCATTAATAATTTCAAAAACGATTTTTTTTATAAAGTGCTGGCAAAATCAAACATTTGGGGACATTTGCTTTTTGCTTGTATTAAAGTGAATTATAAATAGAGTTCGCGTACGCACAAGAATAAGAAACAATATAGCATCAATGTTGCAATCAAGTCACCTGTATGCGCATACATGTATACAGGGTGACCCATTAGTGTGTGGAAGTCCAATATCTCGGTTGTTTTTGAAAATGTCAGATATAAGAGTTTTACTGTTTGCAGAGGAGCCTATTGTAAAAATATTTCACAATATACAGGATGCCCTCAAAAAGGAAGGCAACATAAAAATTATTTATTATGTTTTTGAATTCTATTAAAAAAAAAACTAAGTATTTTTGTCTAAAACACCATATGTCTAAATTCAATTATTTTCAAGCTTTTGACATTTGAAAAATTAATTTTTTCACCCTGTAACAAGCTGTAGCACCTAAACGGTTGAAATTAGAGTATACAAACAAATATGCAATAAAATGCCCCACTTTCGATTGAACCTGAAGTTAATTTTTTTTTAGATTCAGTTAATCCAAAGTTCACATGTCTGGATAGGGTATGAAAAAGTAAGAGAGGAACATGTAAACCGTTATATCCCAACTTTGTTTGGGTGCTACAGCTTGACAAAGTGTGAAAAAGTACATTTGTAATGTCAAAAGCTTGAAAACAATTGAATTTAGATATAAAAAAAATTATTTTGATCTTGCTTTTCTTTTTGGCAAATATTTTTACAGCATGCGTATCTGTGAACCGTAAAACTTTTGTATTTTATCTTCCTCGTATTTTCAAAAACAACCTGAGATATTGGACCACCACACACTATTGGGCTACCCTGTATACTCCGTTTTTCTTTTTATTTGAACCCGGAGTTATTCTAAAATGTAACGTTGTCACATCGCTTTGCAAAATTCATTAGATATTCCTAATTCATGAAAAATTAACACAAAAGAAGGATTATCACAAAGAATTTTCAGCAAAGCATTCAATAAATATTTTTTTGTAACGAAAAATTACGTACTGAAAACTTTATTTATTTATGCTGTAATATTATATTGTATTTGTCAATAAGTATTTTAACTTGGACAATAATATATAAGGCTTGCTAGTCCTGCCACCTTAGATGGCAACATTGATAGTATTTCATTTCTTATTTGTGTATTCACTCAGTGCGAACTCATGGTAGTCGAAGCAAAAGTGATACTAGCGCTAGCTGCAGATAATTCGGGCATTTTAGGGCGATATTTTGTAATTTTGGACTATCAAATACACGTATACATTTTACTTTTTTTTTAAGTCGGTAAAAACAATACAATAAGCAAACGGAGTTGCTGTGTTGAACATTGTAAAAATGTTAGCAAAAAAAACAGTGAAAATTATAAAAATGTTCAGTAGCAAAGTGGAAATTAATTCAAAAATTACCTATTCTTAAATGTTCAAGATTTCTGCCTTTGATTATTGTATGTGGCTGGAATGAATTTTTGTGACTTACTGATAGGAAATTAGTTTTAATCATTCATTCTATGTTTCCTATCGAACAAAAATAAAAATATAAATAACAATCCTTCTGTTTAACTTTACGCTATTATTTAATGATTATTTTTTATTTTGACAGAATAGGTTAATTCTTCTCATACATTTTCCCGTAAATACTGTTGCCTGTCTACATTTTGTTATTGATTTTTAATGATTACTTAATTTTTTTAATTTAAGCGATAAAAATATATAATAATAATAAAAAATTAATGTTTTACTTGTTTTACAAATCCATAAACTTTTATTAAAACTAACATATATACTTTTTAATTACGAATTCTATTAAAAATTGTATTGTCAGTATACACAGAAATAGTCCATTAGTACCTAAATGAATTGGCGCTGCTGTCACACAGGGAGCGAATATGCGGACGCTAGTCATTATCCACTTTAACACAAGCAGATCATTCCCTAAGAAAGTTTGATTTTTCCAACACCGTGTTACCTGTCACTCATCTACAAACTGCCTTGATATTTTTGATACAGCTTCAAACCACGTAAAAATTGAGTCATTTCTAAGCAATAAACACAGTTTAAATTGTAGGCGAGCAATTTACAGCAGTATAATCAACTATTTGGTTATTCATCACGCATATCTATCATAATGTTCAACTGCTCAAAAACTGGTGACCATATAATGATCCAATTCGAACTAAATTCCTCTAAATCCAGTTAAATAGGTTCCACGTCGAAAAATTAATAAAAAATGGAAATCTACTCGTCATATTGTACTGTGATCACCATACAAGGTTGTCAATACCTCTTATGCTCTCTGTGGCCCGGCGGCCTCGATTCGCGCCACTCCCTGCCCTCCTTGTGTGGCCTGCCCTCATGGTGGTGATGGTGATGGTGATGCCGCTTCTTCTCGGCACCTTTCGGCCCGTACGCTTCCGACACGACCATCTCGGAACCGTCGCGATGACGCTCGACGCGGTACGGCTCGTCTAGAGTCTCTTTGCGACGCAGGGGCGAGTGGTTCGAGTGATTAGCCGCCGCGTTTGCTGCGGCCGCTCTAAGACCGGCTTTGCTGCCGGCAGATTCGTGCAAGTTTTCCCAGGCTTGGCGGTAGTAGCGATTGAGGCCTCCGTTGCGGGATTCTGAGCTGGAGGAGTCGAACGAGGCGACTGTGTTGCAATCGGGTGAGGCACGGTGTCGGTAATGTTTGGCACTTTGGTTCCTGAAATGGAAAATCCATTAATAGACCTATAAAAAAAATGTGGAGTCCGGTTCTAGCAATGCATCAAGTAATTTACACCCACTAATTATTATAAGGTAATCAGAGCTGGGTAGTAGTTAATTACAAAAGTAGTTACGGGTTAATCCGTAAGAGCCTAGCGTTGCCATACGGCAACGATTAATAGCGACCTATATTGAATTTTTTATTGATGTGTCTGTTATTTCAATATAGATGAGACAACGAATTACTTTCAAAAAGGTCACACGTCTTACATACTGAGCATATTTTGTTTGTGTGTTGTTGATGTGAGCGTAAATGAATTTTAAGTTTGATCATTGTTTCGTATATTTCGAAAAATGCAGCAAGAACTATTTAATCAACTTATAGTTTGTCACAGGTAGTGTTGCCAACTCTCCCGGAATTCCGGGATAATAATTAAAGTAGAAGTACGTTTAGTTATTCCGAGCAAATAAATAACTAAAGTAGGCGCGTTTGGGTTAATTTTTTTGAAAAATGTGTGGATGAATCAGGCAAACAAATAAAAATTTTATTTAATTCGCTCTACCTGTGCCGAGCGTGTTTTCAGTGTAGTTATTGAACTGGTCAAAAAGTCATAGTCGTCTTAATGCAACTCATGTCAAATCTGAAATAAAAGTATGCTTAAATTTCAAATACATGTGTAAAGAGTTTTATGATTTTATCGATAATTTAAAAGTACAACATACACATAACATACGCTTCAGGTTGTTTTCATAAAAAGTCCCTAAAAATAACTAAAATTTGCAATTGACCTTAAAAATTGTCACTTAAAAGGCAAGCAATGGAATTGCAAGCAACATGCTGTAATATACGATCCCATTTGAGTTGCAAATAACACTATTTCGTTTTTCAAGGTCACGAATTTTAGCGACACTTATTCGAAATAGATTAAGTTCTTAACTATGCAAAATTTTATTCTACCACCTGTTCACTCTATATCTCTATAACTATGATTTGGTGCTCTAAATATTGGTGCAAGTACGTTGCATGCAGTGCAGTGCGGGTGTGTCTGAAGCCATCTGAAGGCGTACCTGTAGCTCACCATAAGGTCGGTCAGGTACTGGGTACTGGTACTAAATTGGTACTGGTAGCGGTCGGTAACTAGATGGGATTGGAAAAGTAGCCGGCCCTGTGTGACCGGTAGCTTCGGGAGAACTCCCTGCGGCCGATCTGTTGGTCGGGAAACGGGAGAGCCAGGAGGGTGTACCATCTGGATGGCATCGCGCTAGGCGAGGGAAGGCGATGAGATGATCGTGCAGACGCACCCGCACTGCGATCCAAACGCAAAAAAAACATGTATTTACAATTCGTTGGTTGGTTTGTCATTTGTAGTAACTTTGAACCAAATTGTATATTTTCAGATGTTATTTTAACCCATGCAAACATTTTAAGTCTTTTGGAGATATATTGATTACATTAACTACGAAAATTTAGTGTTGTCAGCAAGATTTAAAAAAGACCATTCAAAAATAAAAGGTGTCCGAATAAAGTTAGGGATGTCGGAATTAAAAAAAAAATTGAATACTAAAAAGTACTTACCTCAAATAGTAATTTAAAAAAAAATATGTTGCGGAATACCGGCAATTTTCCGAGAAAACTTGAATCAAAACTTATTATATTATTTTGATTTTTCTAACCCATGGTATTGTTTCTAACCCAATATCTTGTCAGTTTTCATGCAGTGTTGCCAATAGTTTCAGTTCAGTTAGTAACAAGATAAAATACGTGAATGTTATCAATATGAAAAAATTCTTTAATAATTGTAGATTTATGAAAAAACAATGAGGACAAAGAAAATCTTTATAAAGGACCTAAAAGCCTTTATTTAAAAAATAATAATCAAAAATTGATTTTTAATTTCGTAAAATCAAATCTAGAACAAAAATTTTAAAAATTCACTAAATTACCTAACCTATGCGAACTTAAGTAACTTACCTAACCTTTGCGGCCTGGAGATTTTGCGAATTCGTTTAAAAATTATACATTTAATGAGAAAAAATTTAAAAAACAACTAAGCTACTTAACCTGTGCGGCCTGGAGCTATCACGGGTTGCTTCGAAAAAAAATGATACGTCAACAATAAAATAGTGCATCGGATAATAATTATCAAGTATAATTTAATAATAAATCAAAATCAAATCACAAATATAAGTACGCCAATAGAAAACCGACGCCAAAAAAGCTTACAACGCAAACAAAAAACACAGCTGACACAACAAAAACAAACAAAAACATGTGCTTTAGTGCAACCTCTCCTTGTCATTTCCGTGTGTAAGAGTGGAAGGTTGAATCATGCACAATTTCTACAATCATCATGGATGCGCAGACGGTATCTTATCATTCTACCCTCTCTACTTCTTTGATTTAGAGTTGAACTATCCTTCAATGTCAAATGTCAAATTAAGCTAAGCTAGTCAAAACTAACCTAGAAAATTAATTATTAAAAATACAAAAAATATCTTTTTCTACGACCACTATTTAGCCTTATGGAATGTTCCGTATATCACACGCGTGTGAATAAATCTACTTTTCATCCGTGTGTAAATATGAATTTGCTTTCTGTATAAGCTGCCAAATATGTCAGATATCTAATTTCTATTTTGATTGATGTAATGTCCAATTCAATAGTAAACTTGATTTGAACATTAAATTTGTAACATTAATTTTTAAATATATATCTTAGACATTGTTTAGTATTTTTGTTACGCCTGAAATTTATATAAAATGTAATTTTATGAGAAGGCGAAAAAATGTTGTTAGAGACCGGTATTGTAGATTGTAAAATACAATGTCAACTGAAATTTAAAATAAAGAATAAAATAAAAAAATAATTTATATTAAATACAGACCACAAAATATTAGAGTTCATATTTGGAACCAGCTAAAGGTTTTAACACCGAAACATTGGTCCATCGACCCGCATATACTGGAGTCATAGATTTGGATAGGTTCCAGAATTAGAAAATGGAAGATATGAAGAAGTTGATTAGGAAGCGGGCAATGGTGAAAGCTCGCCTCACTAAGTTGAAGCAATTTTTAGATGACATTGTGGGTGCTGGAAATATTGAAGCATTGAAAAGAATAACGTTATTAAATATTGAGGCTAAATTAGATAGAATGAGGTTATTGAAAATTGAATTTGATGAATATCAACAGGAAATAGAAATATTTGTTACTGATGAGCAATTGGAAGCTCAAATAATGGAAAGGGATACATTTGAGAATTGTTTTGACAAGGTAATGAGTACAGGAAAACATATTTTAAATTTAAATCATTTAGGGGATGTATCCGATATTAATTCAGTTAGGTCAGGTAGAATGCAAAATTTACTTAATAACAATGAAAAAACTAGTGAAGGTATAAACAGTTCAGTAGTAGCTATTAAACAAAATATTAAGTTACCTAGTATAAATATGCCTACCTTTAATGGTTTACCTGAAAATTGACTTGAATTTAGAGATACTTATAAGTTTTTAATACATGATAACAGTTCTCTTTCTAATATAGAAAAATTTCACTTCTTAAAGGTATTGTAAAAGGAGAAGCTAAAGAAATGTTGGAAGAAGTAGATTTTGTAGAGCATAATTATAATATAGCTTGGGATCTGTTGTGTGAGGCATTCAATGATGACTATAATTTAATAAATTCCCAACTACAATCCTTAGTGACAATTCCTGCAACAATTAAAGGAACTTCTGCAGAATTACGTAAATTTTTTATTTCTTATGCAAAAATACTGACTTAGGAAAATTAGGTGTAGATATAATTTCATGGGATATTAAAGTTATTTTCATTTTAAAAGAAAAATTGGATAATAAGACAAAACAAAATTGGGAAGAAGCTAGGTGTAAGAATAAGTCACCCTCTTTACAAGAATTTAGGAATTTTTTCAAGACTAGAATAAGTAATTCAGAGGCAATTAAAGAGGGAAAAGCAGATAAAAAAGAAATATGTAGCAAATATAAATCTAGCAAGTCCTTCTTGGCTACAAATTCAATTATATGTTCATTTTGCAAAGGTACTCACTTCTAATTGCGAAAAATTCTTAAAATTAGCAATACCTGCTAGGTATGAAAACGCTAAACAAAAAGGTTTATGTTTAAATTGTTTAAAGAAAGCTTCGCATAAAGCTAGAAATTGTAAATTAAGTGGATGTAGGAAATGTAATGGTAAACACCATACTTTGCTGCATAAACCTGAGGAAAATGGACCAGTAGCAGAAACTTCGGAAGTAACTCCTGAATTAGTTGTTGAAGAAGCATACCAGGTAAATACTTTCTTTTCTAAAGATATTGTAGTAGGAGATGTCATTCTCTCAACAGCTTTGGTTCAAGTAGCAGATAGAAAAGGTAAAACTCATTTATGTAGGGCTTATTAGACAATGGTTCATAGTCAAATTTGGTAACCAAAGAGTTTTATAAAAAATTGGGATTAAAAATGGATCATATAAATATTTATTTAGTTTTTATTACTCAAACTGTTTCTTATATTAATCAGAAGTGCCTAGTTACAGTTCAATCTAATCCTTTTGATTTTAATAAAACATTATCTTGTTTAGTGGTTCCTAAAATTAGTGATAAAATTCCTGGAAAATGTTTAGATGGCATTCATACTAAAATTCCTAACAATATAAAATTAGCAGATCCAACTTTTTATCAATGTGGTAAAGTCGATTTGTTGATTGGAGTAGATACTTCCTATGAGTTATTTTGTGTAGGTCAAGTATTTTTGGGGAAACATTTGCCTATGTTGCAGACGACTAAGTTAGGTTGGGTGGTTGGAGGTTCTGTTCATTTTATTAATCCTTTAACCTCTAAATGTAACTTCAACTTGCAGATGGATATCCAAGAGCAATTGATTAAATTTTGGACAGTTGAAGAATCACCTATATTAACAAGGGTTCTTTCTGAGGAAGATAAGACGTGTGAAAGACTATTTGTAGAAACTGTTGATAGGGCTGAAAATTGACAGTTTATTGTTAGAATTCCTTTATTAGATTCACCTGGTAAATCAGGGGATTCTAAAAGACAGGCCGTAAATAAATTTCTTTCTCTTGTGAAAAGATTTTTCAAAAATGGCGATTTAAAGTCCAAATATGTAGAATTCATGAATGAGTATATAGACTTAGGGCACATGTCAGTTGTTCAAATTCAGAATGAAATTTCTTATTTTTTACCTCATCACCCAGTCATTGATGAAAATCGTTCAACCACAAAGTTAAGAGTCGTTTTTAATGGTTAAGCACCTAACGATAATGGAATTTCTGTTAATGATTTACAGTATATTGGCCCTAATGTTCAGGATGATTTTGTTTTGTGTCATCGGTATCAACTGCTACGGTTATTAGCTTCGTGTTCTGTGTAGGCTTTGTTACTGTTTCCCAGCGCCACTTTAGGAACAGCACTGTTAATTAGTACCCAACAGTGAATGGTCGAGTGGGGAATCCTACCATGGCATCAGAATTAATTTTAAATAATTAAATTAAATGAAAAAATTGTTGCCAATTTTATTTAGATTTAGGAAGTACAAAGTAAAATTATTTGGTTAAAGAATGTTTGTTACAGTTTTTCATTTTATAACTTGTTCAGTGTATTAGATAATTATTTTTGAAAGACATTCTTTCAAGGTGGGGGGTATGTTTAGTATTTTTGTTACGCAACTGAAATTTATATAAAATGTAATTTTGAGAAGGCCTACTACATAAAGTGAGTACCCTTTAATGTAATTTTTTTTTTCTAAATTCAGACGTCTCTTATATTATACGGATCCCAAAAAAGAGATAAAAAGTGTTCTCTTAGAAAGGGATCCCTAATAACACCTATCTGCCAGAAACATCCCATTTAGGTTCCATGTATGTTTCTATGTTTCTGACATAAATGGTACGACCCTACGATGTCTCTAAAGAAACGTTTCTGGAATGATTTCTCAAGAATGTTTTAGAAACATCGTAACTTATAGATGGCGCAAAGATTTTCCAATGACCTTGCAACTTTAAGATGTCTTCCGTTGAAATCATCTATTCAAGGTTTAATCAGGCTTGGCAAATGTAAAAACAATCGTTTTACGTACAAGATATTCAAGCCAAAATGAAGAAGGTAACTTAATTTCCATTAACAAAATGTGGTTTTTGTACATTCTAGTCATTATTTCTTTATTTGTTAACTTTGAAAATAACTATTTTAGGTATTGTATTTTGAAAACTAAGGTAGCCAAGTTAAAAATAGCTGAAGCCATTATGGGTAATTATTTTAACTTAATATTAATTGTTTATATTGTCATTTAATTGAAACATTTTCAGATTCGGTAAATTGGTAAACAAAAAAGAAATGGAAATTAAAATAGATAACTGGTTGTGAAGGTTTCCGGAAAGAAATAGACGTAATGAATCATGGCGTAATAATTAACCTTTTTTATTTTTGTGTCAAAAAATATTATTTTTCAAATAAATTTATGAAAAAAGTAATAGATTTGATTATCTTACTAAAAAACGTTTAGGTCATTTCAAGACCGTTCCAGCAATAGTATAAAAAATTTACCTAAGACGTTTGAGCAACATCGCAGGATGTTCCACAAACGTCTCTATGAACGTTATAAATGATCACATGGTCATTACCAGAAACATCTCAGGTACGTTTGAGGAAGAATAAGAAACATGACAGAGACGTTTCTAATGTCCCAAGGGTATGTTTCTGAAACGTTCGTGTAACAATACTATGCTATTAGGGGAGGCTTCGCTCGGTGCTAGTGAATAGTGTGTTTTATACTTCAGCATTAAAGATTTATATTTTTACTTGACGAATATAAACCAAAGCTAAACTGGACAATTAGATAAAACCAAGGCTAAAGCAACTGTACTTTTCTATGATGGAATCGATTTTACTATTAAAACGTTCAATTTGGTTCAAAGTTACATAACCACACACGAATTTAGTTTATTTTTAAAGTCAGTTTGGACGTACATTGTAAATACCCAAATTTTTTAATACCTAAATCTGTTAATACCTAGGTAAATTTATTAATACCTAATCAATAATTATTTTATTTATTCTAGATGTTAAAAAAAAGAAAACTTACCTCCTCACTAATATCACTATAGTCGTAATGATAGCTGCTAGAAAGATGAATCCTCCGAAGGCGCCCAATGCTATTATAGCACCCAAATTCAATTTAGCTCCGAACGTCTCTTTTCTCTCTCCATCAATCGACAGCGGTATATTGACGTTTGGCGTTTCGCCATGTTGGACGTTTGAACTACCCGCGATTTCGTTGTCTTGAGGATGTCCTGCTATGATAATAGATGGCGATAGCGATGACGTCAATGGAGTGGTGGCTTCCGTCGTGGTCCTGATCATCGGTCTTCTAAAACAAAGAGGAAATTAAAGTGTAAGATACGATTTTTCAATACGCCCATTGGAAAAGAACAAAATTGTGTCAAAAGTCCTTATTAACTCCAATATAAGGAGTCTAAAATCCGTATGTACACACCAAAAGTTGGAAAACGATTTCCTGAATCTAAAAATAATGGAAATACTTTTAATATATTACCTGGTTCTATTTGTAGCCTTCACAATATCTATTCCTCTAACAGTAGTTGGTGGTGGCCTAGTACCTCTGGTTCTTTCTCTCTGCCGAGTTGTGGTTATAGTTGTAATGACAGTCGAAGGCGCTGAAGATGACGGTCGTTTGCTGCTGGTTCTGGTCGTCGGTTCTGGATTTTGCAACGTTGTAGGAGCGGCTGCAAATATTAAAATTATTTGTATACAAATAGATCACAGAAAATTTCATTGAAATCCGTCAGTTATATATTAATATCATATATTTGAAGGGTCCAAGAAAAACATGATAAGCGCCATACATGCCTGTAAAAAATATACACACACGAAAAGAACCTAATAACCACCATCCGTTTTTTGTATCTTCTGTAGAATGAGCAAAATGACGCTTATCATTTTTTTTCCTTTGACTCTTCATTTAGAAAACGAAGCGTATTCGGATAGCGTATTCGGATAGCGTATTCGGATAGCGTATTCGGATATCGTATTTATATACATATTTTTACCCCACGAATATGTTTTTAAATTTTCGTACAATAATAAATATTTTAACTCACCATCACATGTCGGAACAGGATAATCGTATTGTCCATTGGACAAGCAAGTTATTGTATCTTGTCCGTTCAGAATGTAGCCAGAGTTACAGGTATATTGGACTGTTGACCCGTAATTGGAGCCATTAGAAATGTCAACGATGCCGTTATCAATTTCGGCCGGAGCTTCACACTGTAGAGCTGAAAACCATAAATAAATAGCCAAAGATAAAATTAGATACCAAATATGATAGGATAATTTAATTCAAGTTTACTACCATAGTCTTTTACACTCAAATCTTGTGTGGGATTCTTTGGAAGCAATAAAAGAGCTGGGTAGTCATAATAGACTAACCTCAACCTGGGTTCTAGGCCAAAAAAGGACATAACGGCAATGAAGAGGATGATTTATTAGCTTTTTTCGCCCAGAACCCTTCTGTGGTGTCACAAAGGCAGCCATCAAAATATACAAAAAGTAGTAGATGCTAAATAAATCTCAGAAATGGGGGAATAATTAACCAGCACAAGGACAGAGAGTTCTTAGAAGAACCATTACAAACTCACCTAACAACTACTATAAGCAAGAGTACAAAAAATACTAGAGAACTAATAGGCATATTAACAGGACATTGTAAGCATAGCAAACATATGCAACACATCAGCTTGGCAGAAGCTATCTCGTGCCGGTTCTGTCGGGAAGAGGCGGAAATTGCAGTACACACATTTTGGTGGTTCAAAAAAAATTACTAATATTAATTATTTTGACTAACAAATTGTATGCATGATATAATAACATTTCAAAAACTAGATATTTATTCCATAAACACTTTTATTTGGCTTATTTTTACGTTATCATTAATGTACCGCATTGTAATGAGTATCTAACTTTAACTTTATATATGTCAATACCCATGTTATGCAAAACGGACATAATTGTGATCAGTTTTGAAAATATTAATCTTATGTCGACCCCTTCAACCCCAATTAATTTCATTGATATACAGCTTGTAAATAGTTAAGATTAATTAAATATGGATATACATATTTATACGAACCTTCGCATCGAGGCGGTGGACCGTTCCATCGTTCGTCAATATCGCACGCTAATTGAGCACGTCCAATCATTTCATATCCTTCGTCGCACGTGTAAATCACCCTCGAAAGATATCCGACACTGTCGTTTACCAAATTGTATTCTCCGTTAGCTATATCGGCTGGATATCCGCACTGAATTCCTGAAATTGATTAAGATGTATTTATTTGTAATATGTGATTTAAAAAAGTCATCACACAGGAGTAATATTTGATCATCATATTGTTAGTCAGTGAATTAGAAGACCGTCACCGCTGATGCTGACGGTACCACAATGCGCTCGTCATATCATCCAAGAGAAAACGGTTGAATTTTGATCGGGCGGATGCAAGCAAGTAGGCGTTGCTGTCCGTTAAAGACATTTTTTTTGTCCTTTAATTAATTAAATTTTAAACATTGTTTATAGAATATTTTTTGTGAGAAAAATTAAATTTGGCAAAATTGTTATATGTAATTTGAACTGTAGATTCAAAATATGAAGACTAGATATAACGAGGCGATTCGGCAATGATCAAATTTCAAATTTCTGCTCTTATTTTTATAAAGTTTGATAAATTGACTGTAGTTGGCAGGTCGAACATCACTGACGTTCATTTTCTATATATGTCAATGAAGTGATTTTTAAAAATCCAAAGATCAATACAAGAAAAATCGAGAGGAAATATATCGATCTCGCAAAGATCGAAGATCGATACATTCTATGTAAAATATAAAATTAAATTTAAACAATAAAAAAAAATAAACAAAAAATCTAATCTTTATCTTAAAAATATTCTTTAAAGTTTGGAATTTAAAAATTAGAATATTTAGAAAGTGTTAATATTCAAATTCTTAGATTCCAAACTACTCAAAAATACGAGTTTGTTTGACATTTTTCCACTTTTCTATAAGATTTCCTGTTCGAGAAAATAGTCTCTCAGATGGAATTGCCCCAAAACACATAAAAACTTTTCAGCAACTTTACTTAAATTGTTCCGTTGTCTTTAAATTCGAAAGAGGTTCATTCAGGTAACTTTTTTTCGCTTTCCGAGAATAAACAAATATCCACAAAACACTCTCACATTACTCAAAACGGCGATGACGATTGATGAATTTATTCTTTTGACGTTTATGGTAACCACAAAATAACCAAAAAGTACATGGACAAGTGGGCATTGAATCGATCTCCGATCTCAGTACTTTCCACCGATATGTAGATCGATCTCTCTTACGAAAAATCGATCCTAAAAAATCGAAATCGTGAAACAAAAGATCGAATCGAGATTGGAAACCCTAACTCAAATGTCATTTGTCGTTTATGCCTTGTGTCAACAGTTCATATTTTATTTCATTTCATGAAAAACAGGAGTCCTAATAAGGACGAAACCGGTCCAAGAATGATGTTCTCCTTGGTGAGCAAAATCAAAGTAGAGAGTGTTGATAATTAATTTCTATCTTTGCTGTTTTTCCTTCGGATGTAATTCAATGCCTGTTGTGGTATTAGCCAAAGGAGTAGTTGTTTTTCTGAAGGGGAAACGGTCGTTGTATTTTATGTGATATCCGGCTTTGAGCTAAATTCATTTTATTTCATTTTGCTACTATTACATTTGAGTTTTGATATTTTATTATCGTTTACAAATTGCCCGCCTGGTCTTTTTGGTTCCACCTAGTTTTCAAACTGGGTACCATAGCGCATTTTGATTTTGCTTAATAAGAACAGATGGCGACACCATTTTCACTACTTGAATTTTATTCTCTCCGTAACCAACTTTATGGTATACTGGTGAAATGTGTAGTATTTGTTAATTCCATTAGAGACTGGAATTGAGAACATCTATTTCTTGCTGAGGAGTCCTAATAAGGACGAAACCGGTCCAAGAATGATGTTCTCCTTGGTGAGCAAAATCAAAGTAGGGAGTGTTGAAAATTAATTTCTATCTCTGCTGTTTTTCCTTCGGATGTAATTCAATGCCTGTTGTGGTATTAGCCAAAGGAGTAGTTGTTTTTCTGAAGGGGAAACGGTCGTTGTATTTTATGTGATATTCGGCTTTGAGCTAAATTCATTTTAGTTCATTTAAATATTAATTGTTAGTGATTAGTGATTTTCTATATTGTTATCACTAATCTAGAATCAAGTGTAGTAAGCTTTAAATATAGTGGTGCCCAACTTCTTTTTCAAAGTTATTCGAGTTATTTAAAAACCTAACCCACGTCCTATCAATTGAGCTCAAACACATATAATAAGTTGATAGAATAACTAGACATCACGTTACACACGTACCATGGAGTGTAGTTTATTTTATTAAAAGTTTCTATAAAATTAAATTTTACAGTCATAGATTCTGACTTACAAACAACAATAATTATACATTAAGTTTAACTTACAAGAAAAGAACATTTGTTTTTTATAGAGTTTTATGTTAGATAAAGAGTTGCTACTGTTATTTTTTGTTTAACCCCAATTTGTGTAATTGTAAATGTTTTTTATAGGATCCTAAACGCTTAGAACAGTGCTAGCATATACAGTGTATCCGAAATTAGTGATGCATGTATTGCGATCTCCGAAACTGTTAGAGATAGAAAAACGGTTAAATAGGGAAAGTTTTAGACAATTCTGTTAGTAACTCAATGCCGTTTAGTTTAAGATTTTTTCTCTTTTGGTTTTTGAGATATTTTGAAAAAACTAAAATGACGCATTTCCGAAAATACCCTGTAATTTATTTATTTATGAAAATTTCCAAAATCTGTAAAACCTTTCTTGCAGCAACTTTTTACGTAGAAAACGCCTGTGTCGTCAGATTTTATTTGCAACGTTTCGGTTTCTTGGAACCATCATACCAACTTTGTTTTTTCAAATGGGCGCCATATTATACTTTTACTGTTTTGAAAAGAATCTTCAACATCCTAACAATGTATTACACTTAGTAAAAAAAAGTTAGGTTATGGGTTAAAAAACCAAAAATTATGATTTTGTTTTTAATTTGGCAAACGTCGCCCTATAAAACACTAAAATTTTATTACATTTAATCTCTAAACTGCAATTAATACCAAAATATCCTCATAATAGTTTATGTTTATGATAATATCACACTCTTACAATGTAACAAAAAATAACGTCAAAAAAAACCATAACTTTTGAAAAATACGTTAACGAAGTCAAATTATTATTTTTCAGAACACCCAATATGACCCAAAAATAATTTAATTATTTTTAATAACCAAAAACTCAGTAAATAATTTGATGTACTCAATACATTTTCTCGCAATACAGTAATACCCTAGTAGTCTTTGGATTTAAGACAAATAAGGAATTATAAATCTGTCACAACTGTGAACGTTTTTTTTTATTATTATTTAAAAGCATTTTATGTTTGTGCTCGGGCCTAATGTGCAGAATGGCAGAAAATTTCTCGAACGAAGAGAAGTTTGATAAGTTAGTTTCTTACATTAAAAATGGAAGGAATGTGGATAGAGCCGCCAACAATTATTTGGAAGATTATCCGGATAGACGACAACCCAACAAAAGGTATTTCTCAACACTTGTAATAGGGCGACGTTGCCAAATTAAAAACAAAATCATAACTTTTGGTTTTGTAATCCATAACCTAACTTTTCAAAACAGTAAAAATCCAACATGGCGCCCATATGCCAATAGTGTTAACAGCAGACCACAACAAGAACAACCAAAGAATATATTTTTAATCAAAACTTTTGTGCTTCTACTTCAATATTAACCATATAGAAATGCATATGCATTTTATAGTATTAAGCAAGATTCGGATCAAATGTACCCACAATTTATAAACATTATTAAACTAAAATAAACCATTTCAAATAACACCTGTATTTTATTTAAATAAAACATGTTAAATATATGTTTTTATTAAATACATAAATTAGTCTTAACCACATTTTTTTTGTTTTTACATCTAGTTTAAAAGTGACTACTAATTCACAGTCTTTCTTACAAGTTTATTATTTAAGGTGACCAGCTACCAAAAAATATCCAATTGATGATAACTAATTTCTCTTTAATAATGGTTTTGCATTTATCAACATTTTACAGTACTTTGTTAATTAAATCACATTTACAACATTTAAATCAAGTAATTACATTTTCATATTCAACTTATGTATTCTTAATATTCTTATTAGAACTTTAGTCACTTTTTTAATTTAAATTTTTTGACTGTGGTAACCATTCGCCAAACCACAAACTAAGTCACTTAAAAATGTTGAAATAGAATGTCATAAAGGTAAAATTCCTTCTTCTATGATGTTGTTCATGCAATTTTAGGTTGTAAACGTTTTATCCAACACCGTTTTCATAATTTATCCGAAGCAACACTATGAAAGATTTAAATCCTGGATTTACAGCATTAGTTTTGAGAGTACAGTCACAATGCAGTTTCAGAGATAATTTTCACATGAACACTTATTTACCACAGCACAATTGCATGTACCTATTCATTTAACATTAAAATAATGTGGAAATAAATTGCATAATTTGGTATATAAAACAGTACAAAATGTTTTTAGTTTTAATTCCACTACGAGGAAAACAGTGGTTTATTCAACTTGTACCATATTGACATTAGTATGCACGTTAAAAGTAGATCTGTCTCTGTTTTTATAATACTATTACGGCAGGACAAACGATAACCGTGGATTTTGTTAAACGAATGTCAGAAAAGTGTTGCCAACTTAAGCTGACTACTATTTCCTCCCTAGTCTCAGTCACTGGGTCTATGTCGCGACCCCTTAGATATACCAGCCCTGAATTATTGTTCTAAATTTGATTACAATTATTTAATTAATAAAAGATTAACATAGCCCTAGTCACATTGTCGTCCGGTATATCCACGTATGCAATATAATTAACTAACAAGCTTTGACAAGAAAATAAAAACATGTTTGTGATGTAAAATATTTTAAAAATATCAGATTGATATGAAGTTAGCTATTATTTTCAAATATTAATTTTATAAATAATCATCTAGTCAAAATTAGAATAAATTTTGTATGTAAGACGTTGCGAAATGCCATTTTGTGTAACTGGTTCACTTTGCGGGATCTTGCTCTGTTCATCCCGAGAATATCACGAAAAAAGCTTCTAATTCTCCATAATTTATTTAATCATCGTAAAAAGGTAAATATTTTCTACGAGGTGCATCGTGGTTCCTTTTAAAATGGTAAAAAAACTCACGTTTACACACTGGAGGAAATTCATTGTAGAATCCCGTTTCCAAACAGACCCTGCTAGTTGGACCTACAAGTAGATGACCTTCGTCGCAGCTGTATTCAATTGTTGATCCCACGTTGTAATTCGGAGCTACCATGGTGGAGTTTGGAGGTTGTTCTGGCCGACCGCAAGCTTTTGGTTCTAAAATAAAAGTTATTTATCAAAATTCAATTTTTTTTTTTAATCGGACATAGTCTATATTTTGTTTTTTTGTCTTTATCTTTGTTCTATATCTCCGTTCTGGTTAGTTTATACATACTTTGGAATCTAATAAAAACAAAACAAGACATAACTTACGATGCTGACAAATATAATTCAGATGCATAGCGCAATCGGTATCCGACCATAGCCATCCTTTAGTACCATCGTATCTAGAGCATTCTCCATTACCGACCGGTAGATTCCAGAACGATACGGTGACGTCTTCTCCAGTTAACCATTTCCATGTGGGAGTATCGGCATCCCTGAGAGCTCCCATCCAGTACTGACCGCTGGCATCGCTTCGATGTCTTCTCCACAACTCCCAGCTCACGAAGCCTTGTAACGCTGGATTGCTTTCGTCCACCAGAGTGCCACCTCTGGATCTGCAGAAAGCGAGGGCGTCACGGAAGTTCATGGGTTGTCTGTTGTAGAATATGTAGCATTTGCCGTTGTAGGTGGCTGTGCTGCCTGTAAAGGAATATTAATTTTGTTAAGTTCAATCAGTTTTGTTTCAGAGTGAATAGCAATAACAACGCCAGGACAGTCGAGAATTGTACCGAAGTTACAAAATAATGATGTAATAATAGTGTAAAGAGTGACGTATTTTATCAAGAGGACAATTCTCGACAAACTGGTAAAATTTCAAAAGCGAAATCTCATTTTGGTGTTTTTAAATAAAATTAGGCTTTAAAATAGATTTACTTGTCATATTAAAAGGCTTCAATCGCTCCTACTCTGAACAAAGCTTCAAATTTCAAACCAAGCTATGTTTTAGATGAAATGGCTACTGCATTCGGTCATACCGTAATACGTTTAATTAATTTTAAGCAACATCAAAAGGGAAGTCAGAAAAAAAAAATATCTCAAGAATTATGATTCAATTGCTTTCTCCATGTTAAGAAAATTGAAATTATCTATAGAGCATTTCTTGCTCATTCTTTTATTATTAACCTGCGTAATACGTCTAGTGATTATAGTTCTGACGAAACTTGATTTTTTCTTTTTGATTACATTTTTACTTTACAAAAAGTAACCACTATCGATATTTTGCATTATATAAAGTAACCACTATCTATAGATATGCGTTATTTTGAAAAGAAAGATGGTGTTCCTTTTCGAGGGATGAAACATTCACGTGGTGAGAACATCATTTTAGAAATTAAAGTTAGACGAATACATCCCACATTCATCCTACTTTCTTACAATAAGAGGATACAAACATCTACAAACAGTTCAAACATTAGTTTTCGTTACATCCTGCAACAATTTGTAATATTCAATATATTTCGTTACTTTTGAGATATTTCCAAACATAACCACACAGTAAAGTACGAGGGTGGATCAAAAAGTACCCGTTTAAATCAATGGTAGCTGCCTCTCGCAAACATGGAATAGAAGACACCATCTGCTGGTGGATAGAAGACATGTTATGCGGACGGCAAGTACAGGCACAAATGTTCAGTGAAACTATGCAGGTGAATATCCACAGGGGATGCCGACAGGGTGGAGTCCTTTCTCCTCTACTGTGGAACCTAGAGGCAGGCGAACTGCTGAAAACACTAAACAATCAAGGGCTGTATGCCCAAGAATATGCCAATGACAATCCGAGGGAAACACCAAACCACAGTCTTTGAACTCCTGCAAAGAGCTCTTAGGCTGACAGAAATGTGGTGCGTTAAGGAAAACCTCTTGGTAAACCCTGACAAGGCACAACTCATAACCTTTACTCGAAAAACAAAATTGGAGGTTTTATAAACTCCGACTCTGTTTGGAGGAAGGCTAAACAAAACGAACCAAGTAAAATATCTGGGTCTAATCCTAGATAGCAAACTTACTTGGAACCAACATTTACAAAAAGTGACTAACAAATGTAAAATGTCTCTCATTGTAGGGAGACAGGCATTTGGAAAAACATGGGGATTAAAACCAAAAATTGCCCACTGGCTATATTTGGCAATAACGAGATCCATGATAACTTATGGAGCGGATGTTTGGTGGCTTAAAGTAAACAAGAAAACAGCCCTCAATACCCTCTCAGGAGTACAGAGGCTGGCATGCCTTTGTATTACAGGAGCACTGAGAAGTACACCGACAGCCTATATGGAAATCATTCTAAACCTCATACCCCTTGACTTAGTCATAAAGGGGAAGGCCAGAATGAGTGCATACAGACTGGAAATCTCCAACAAATGGAACCCATTGGGACATATAAAACATACCAGAATAACACATGAAGTAAATGATTTTATATTAAATATGGGATCAGATCACATGACACCCCTCCTAACCTTTAACAGACTCTTCCAGGTCAACTGTAACTGGAACGAGGTAAATAAGGGGATAGATAAATACTTGCTTAGCGACCTCGTATGGTATACGGATAGATCTAAAACTAACAAGGGAACAAGCTCTGTCGTACATGGAGTTAAGCCCAAATGCGACATCATCGTCTCACTGGGAAAACATGCCACTGTATTTCAGGCTAAAATACATGCTATCGAATTGTGTGTACGAGAGAAGGAGGTACAAAAACAAACCATCCTAATTCTCTCAGATAGCCAGGCAACTTTAAAGGTTCTTGATTCAAACATAATTAAGTCAAAGCTTGTCTGGAACTGCCTTGGAATACTAAACGATCTGGCAACCCACAACAAGGTAAAACTGGCGTGGGTACCAGGGCACAAAGGTATCCAAGGAAATGAAAAGGCTGATAAACTCGCCAAAGAGGGATCAGATCTACCATTCACAGGACCCGAACCTGTATTTGGGATAAGCAAAACCTCTGCTCAACAGGCAGTGAACAGGTGGATAACCATAAAACACCAAATTCACTGGCAACAGATAAGAGGCCACAGAATCAGTAAGCTCATGCTAAGGGAACCAAACCCATGCATGGCTACTGAGGCACTACAACTCGCAAGGCCTCAGATATCCAACAATGTGGGATTACTAACAGGGCACTGCTTGCTGAAACACCTTCATGTAATGGGATTACACAATGATCCCACTACGTGTAGACTTTGCATGGAAAAGGAAGAAACCTCATACCATGTGATCTTCGAATGCGAAGCTCTTACTGAGCGACGTTTCATCCTTTTCGGCCTAGAACCAGAAAGAACGCCCCAGGAACACTTGGTAGGGAACCTATTAAAACTAACCAAAGACACAGGACTATTCCAAAGATAGTACCTGAATACGGGGAAAGCAGGGGAATACAATAGACCCAAGAGGCCGCAGTGTTCTGGGCCAAACCTAACCCTACCTGCTTACAACCGATGAAGATAAAGATAAAAAAAAAAGATAGAAAGGAAGAGACAAGTTTTTCAACGTAATCTCCTTTTAGTGCTACACACTTTTCCCAACGTTTCTGCCATTTATTTAACCCCTCGAAAAAATATGATTTGTCGAACTCCGCAAAATACATTTCAGTCTCGACGATAACCTTCTCGTTAGAGCTGAATTTTTTCCCCCGAGCCACATTTTCATGTTAGGAATAAAAAAAACGCATGGAGCCAAGTCAGGCGAGTACGGTGGGTGTGGCAGCAATTCGTACTGCAGTTCTTGCAATTTGACCGCGACAATTTTGGATGAATGTGCTGCTGCTTTATCGTGATGAAATAGGACTTTTTTCTTAGCCAAATGAGGCCGTGTCTCCTTCAATTTTGCATTGAATTTGTCCAATAATTCACTATAATACTGCCCTGTGGTCGTACTTCCTTTCTGCAAAAAGTCGATGAGGATCATTCCCCTAGAATCCCAAAAACTCGTGGCCATGATCTTTCTGGCCGATGGTCTTTGCTTTCTTCGTAGCAGATTTACCCCGAAAAATCCATTGCTTCGACTGTCGTTTGGTCTCTGGGGTATAATAATGTATCCAGGTTTTATCAACGATAACGACTCGATGCAAAAGCTCCTGCGAATTTCGATTAAAGAGCTCCAAACACTGTTTCGACATTGACAGGCGTATCCGCTTGTTGTCCACCGTAAGCAATCGCGGCACCCATTGGGCCGATACCTTTCGCATGTTTAACTTATCATGCAAAATATTAATTGCCGTTCCTTGTGATACGCCTACGGCCTCTGCTACTTCTCGCACTTTGTTCGGCGATCTGCGACAATCATGTCTTGGACCTTTTTAACGATTTCCTAGATAACAACGTCTGCCAGGCGTCCTGGTCGCTCCTCATCAAAAACAGCTGTATGACCTCGTTTAAATTTGTTGAACCAATATCTTACGGTTGTTATAGATGGTGAAGGGTCCTTATAGACAGCATCCAACTTTGCTTTTATTTCATCGCATGTTTTTCGATCCAAAAATAAAAAGCAAATTACGGATCGATATTGTTCTTTTTCCATTTTATCGAATAATACGAAACACGTATGGTACAAGTGGCTGCCAAATAAAAACCAACCTATGAATCAGTTTGAAATTTAGTATGGTGTCGTGTGACAGATGACAGTACACGACAGTAATGCCAACTTCCCTCAGCAACGCCACCTGCCTTTAAACACGGGTACTTATTGATCCACCCTCGTAAATTAAAATCGGATGCAGAAATAAAAAAAAGGGTAAAAATTATGTACGACCGAAAGTATAAAGCATGGGTGGGTAATTTCTTATAGGTGCTTGCTCTTTAACAAAAAAGTTATTTACTTCTGCTGGTGATAAGGAGGGGATATGTACTCGTATATTCTCCTTTTTCGTTCATTAGATTGCTTTGGGTTTATTTGAAGAGTTCAAAACTTTATTTGAGTAGTATAATCCTTTTTTATGGCTTAATATCTGTATCTTTAACGTGTGGTGGTTGCCCCACGGCGCTTAGGCCTCACTAAACCCATTTTACTTCCTGCTAAATCGATTGGCCCCTCTTAGCTCGTCAGCCAGGCTACATATTTAATGTAGTAGACTACGTGGTCGGGAGGTGCTTCTCTTATATCGGCTGGTGTTAGCCGAAACTTGCCGAACATAAATCTAATAAATAAGAGCATCGGGCAATCGTAGAGAATATGCTTTGTGGTCTAAACTTCTTGTTCGTATCCCCTACAGAATGCAGATTTTGATAGCCCCATGTTATTTATATACATGATTCCGTACTTAACAATGTCTGTGATCAGGCGCAGATTCTGTCTAGGCATAGTAAAGTATTTGTTTGTTGTGATAAAAGCTCTCTGGTAAGTCTACAGTTTCTTTCCTTGAGTTTCTCAAGGGAATGTTATTTAATTAGGTTTATCCCTACCGATGTTGTAAGTCCAATAGAAAGGCCAGGTCCAAAAAGTATTGGGTTGGTTGTCTGCTTAACTAGTGAATTAGCAAGACGGTTACCTTTCGATGCAGCGTGACCTTTGATCCATCTTAAGGTGACAACATTATTGATGGATACTTCGGTAAAAGCTTCATGACATTCCAGTACTATCCTTGAGTAAATTTATGGTCTGTCCAGGGTGAGTAGTTATAGCCTGCTATCTGTACAGATAAGCATGTTTCTTCCCTGTTTGCAGAATAACCAGGCTTTGAGAGCATGTTATGTTGGTTAGGTAGTGAGTGTATTATCTAGGTGGTTTGTCAAAAATACGTTCCTCCTATGCCTATTAAATCACCCAAGGATACTTAATTATTTAGGGATCTCTCTATCTGGCCAACAACTAGGTGAAGGGCTAAATCAGTAGATCTACGTTGGGTGTATGTTGTAATCACCACATCTCTTATGTACCTTTCGCATAGCTTTTCCAATGACTTCGTCAGGTTAATTGGCCGGTATGTTTTTAGGACAATCCATCCTGTAAAGTTTGAGTATGAAGACCACTTTTACTTCTCTCCATTTTAAAAGTAATATTGAATGGACAGCGTCAGGTTCTGGCGATTTAAATGAAGAAAAGCCAGACACTGTTTATCTAATTTGGTCTTCATCTACAATGTGTTTGACCGCTTGCCAATCGTAAACAGAAAAGTTGTATTCTTCCTCTGCACAAGCGGCCACATCTGTGATGTCCGAGTCAGGGAAGTGAATTTATATCAACAACACTTTTAGATAACTGAAGCAGAAAGTTAAGTTTGTCTAAAGTAAAATTTTAAGAAATGCACCTTATAAATTTTATTTACATCAGGGAAACTCGTAACATTAATTTTAACAATTTCTTCTATACATCCTAACTTACCAACAACACTGTATAAAAAAAACTTTTCTATCGCAACGAAAAACAGAAATTGGTGAATCGCGGGTAGAATAATTTTTAATTTATAATGAACCATATACACCGACAAAGAAAACACGAAAATAAAAAGAATCAGACATGTAATTACCTCTCTTTCTCTGTGAGAAAATGATTCAAGTGTATTTGGATTGTCCGAGGCGTGGTAAAGAATCTTTCTTCTTGAGATATTTGATAAACGAGCCCATGAATACAATGTTATGCTGCTATCGTTGATAATTATTAAGTAGATCTTTATTCTCACGTTGAGAATGGATAAATAGATGGGATACTTATGCTTGCAAGTGAAAGTTGTAAAGAAAAATATACGATAATTGTGTTCTTAGGAGTAAATTTATTAGCAATAAAAATGTAACTTTTAGTAATTAGATTTCACTTATATCGGAACACAAGGCAAATATTTTTTTACAAATCGCCATATTGATAATTCTATGACAAATATATTAAAATTTAATGGACGTTAAAAATATAACGTAGGTATGTTAAATATGAAAAGCAATTCTGTAAATTTAAACGTTTTAACGATGTGAAACACGAGAGTCAAAATGTTGCAAAGTATATATTTAAACAGTTTCATGTTAATTTCAACCCCTTCGATGACTATGTATTTAAAAAATCCTATGCTGCACGAAATCCAAGGCGTAAGAAGTTACGAATAATTAAAAAAAACACGTAAAGAAAGTCCTGTAGCATTAATCAAAAGTGAAGTGATTAAAATGGCATTAATAAGGAATGAAAATATTTGGATAGGTCTTTTAAAAAGATTGTTTCATAACGCTTCCTATGAATTGGTTTGGTGAGGAGGTCAAGCAGCAAATTATAAGGTGCACTATTTTAGTGAGGAAGAATCAAATTGAATAAAGTACAATTTTCCAAAACATGTCAAGGTGGCTCACAAAATAGTTGTGATAGTAAATGGGTAATGAAGACCACAGAAAACCCTGATATATGTCCAGTAATGTTAATTTGTAAAATATTATCAACAATAATTATTGTTCTTTTTATACAGCAGCCTTTTTTAATATTTATTGTATTTCTGTTTTAATTTTAAATAAAGTTTAATTGAATTTACTTTACTCATTGAATTGTCTTTGCAAATACCATACGAGTTCAAATGTTGAGCATGATATTGTTTAAGTTTTTTTGACACATTCGTATAAAAACATGTTTTAAACAACAGTTGTCTATATGAATGAATTTAGTATGTATTCAATATATTATATTTTACTTTTATTATCAAATCATCACATATAATTCGCTGCCCAGCATGGCATTAATCTAAGACCATAGTGTCGATAAAATGACGAAAAACCAATAATTATAAACTGTTTTTTACCTGGAGGTTGATCTCTAAATTGGGGACATCTTTCGATAGGTAAAGCCTGATCGGTGTAGACGAATGCTTCACAAATTGACAACTGACTTGGAGCTGGAGCTTCTAGGTGTACGCTGACAAAGGCCCCAGGCATTGGTGGATTGCACGGCAGGAATAAAGGCTGGCCTTCCTCTAGGAAACCGGTGAATCTGTTACATATTGGATTGGTACCCAAGTCAGGTCTGTTATTACCCACTCTGACGACTATCGTTGCTGGTTTCTTAGCTCCTGAAAAAAATTATATACATTTAATTGAAAAAATTAAAATATGGGGCCTAAAACAGTATCCTGTGGTGATACTTCACATTATCTATACGGAACGTATTGTAGAGCTGATTTTATAATCAAACCCCAAAGGTGGATTTTACGAGATATGTTATTTATAGTTCGCTTTAAGACGGAATTTCACGTCATAATATTCATTTTGTAAGTCTCTCTGACATTAACCACTGCAATAAAGTGAAAAACTTTAATGACAGAATCCTTGACCTCATTTGCACACCCTCTAAATACGATTGTACTATTCGCCTTGATAAAAATCCTCTAGTTCCCACAGATCCCCATCATCCTGGACTTCTGATAAGTCTACTGCTTGAGTTAAATAGTGTAAAAAAAAATTATTTCTAGTGAACAAAGGTTGATAAAGATTAATAATGAAAATTTTTTCGGCTTCTGTGTATAACTCAGTGGAATCACTTATTTGACGACTGTGAAGGTGTCGAATCGATGTGTTACGTTTTCAATCAATCCTTACAAAAATAATCTACGAGTGTGATCCTTTAGTTTCACACAGATCACATCGTTTTCCAAGTTGGTATAATAGCACATTAATTTACAGTATTAAATCAAAAGCTCATTCATAAGAACGTTTAATAAACTAAATAATTCGATCGTTGGGAAGAAAAGGGTTACATGTAAAAAAAAACGATTTTTCAGTTATTTCTATATTACCACTAAAGCAGACGCCTTTTTGTTGGAAAAGAGTTTAATGTGAAACTCGATCAGTAGCCGATAGATGACAGCATGTAACACGCGGTTTTTTAGCAATTCTGTTGGGGTATTTTCAGGAATACCATTACATTTTAGTTTGTCTAGAACTGTTCCGCAGACCATGTCGAAAAGTTGTTTCAAAAAGGTTACATTTCTTTAGTGCATTTTTTATTTAAAGGTACGTATGTAATTTGCAAGAAAACAGATACATCCCAAAATGCAACGCTTTTCTTTTAAAATGAAATATGAATTGATCTTATCTTTTGAAAGAATAACGAAACATTAAATTTTGTAACCATATTCTTGTATAATAGGAAGCAAACAGTTCATAAACTATTAAAAGAAGATGCTTTATTTTGATTTATAATGCTTTTGAACCAAATTTTTAACCTAGTTTGTCTATGGTGTGTTATATTTTGAAATGTATCTTCTTTCTTGGCTTGTGTTCAGTACTTTTAGTGTTTTATTATAACGTATAACGGTTTTATTAAAACTAATCAAATTTTTTAGTATAGTTATTACTAAAAGTGACACACACACTCGATGATGTCTTACAAGAAGCGGACGTTGAAAATATTTTCTAATTGTAAAATGGCCAACACAACAAACCTAGATGAAGAAAACCCTAATCATGAAGAGGTGCCAGATGCAAAAGAGAATGCAGCTTCAGGTAAATCTAAGTTTTACGGTGAATTTTTATTTTATTTTTTTGCACTTCTATTTTGTAATTGTAAATTGTCTATTAAATGCTGTTGTTACAGTTTAAAGTGCTATTCATGTAAAGAATGGGTTAAAAAGATGTACTTCATTTTCTTGCACCTCTTGTTAATTTGTCGATAATAATTTGGAAAGTAATTTTGCATTACATTTTAGCGAATAACGAACAAAATGAATCTCTCGATCTATCCCAAATTAATGTGCACATTGCCATGCCTGAATGCGTTATAGAAGCATCAGCAGCTGAAACAAAAATCTCAAACAGTGCAACAAGTTCAACAGTCAATTCTAGATACAAGTATAGTAATGTTGCTTCTCCCAGAAAGCCTATTACTTTATTGTAGATGACAAAAATGTACGTGTTTGTAAGATTTTTTTTATGGCAACTTTGTCTATCAACAACAGAGTCATTCAGACCATTATTAAAAAGCAGAAGGTTTGTGAAAGTGGCAAAATTGTCGAAGTTGATAAGCGAGGCAAACACAATAATCATTATCAGGTGGATCAGGCAATAAAAAATGAAATTAGGGAGCACATTAAATCGATACCACGAATAGATAGTCACTATTGCAGAGCAACTACGTCAAAAGAATATATTGAGGGAAGTAAAACCCTTTCAGACTTGCATCGTGACTATTTAAAAATATGTGAAGAGAAAAAGTCACCTGCTGCCAATTATCACATAGAAAAATATTTGAAGAAGAATTTAACATAGCCTTCTATGTTCCGAAAAAGGATCAGTGCGAGCTCTGTTTGCAATTTAAAAATTGTACTGAAGAGGAGAAAGTATCGTTAATAGAGAAGTATGAATCGCACATCAAAGAAAAAGACTTAGGTCGCAAAGAAAAAGAACATGACATTAATAGTGGAGCTGAAGTAATCGTTTTTGATCTTCAGGCGGTTCTTCTGTGTCCAGTTGGAGATCCTTCATCTTTCTTTTATGTCTCGAAGTTAAATGTGTTGAACTTCACTTTATATGACATCAAAAGTCATCACGGAACCTGTTTTTTATGGCACGAAGCTGAAGTACAAAGAGGTGCAAATGAAATAGGTACTTGCATTTATAAATATCTAGAAAACATAAGTGATCTAAATCGGGAGGGCGATTTAGACATTATATTCTCATCAGATAATTGTGCTGGTCAAAATAAAAACAGATTTTTGATAGCACTTTATTTGTATGCTGTTTTTAACTTAAACAACTTCTATCACGCACAAATATTTTATAACCGATCACAGCCAAAACGAAGGTGATAGTTTGCATGCAACAATAGAAAAAGCAGTAAAGAAGTACAAAAGATCAAGTCCAATTTACATTCCCGATCATTATGCAAGTATAATCAGATCAACAAAAAAAACAGGATCTCCATACAAAGTGAACAAACTATGTTTTAAAGATATTTTCGATTTAAAGAAGTTAACTTCGGATCTGTTTCTCAATATTCCTAAGAATGTTAAATTATCGGAAACAAGGGTAATAAAAATAGAAAAAGCGTATCCCAATACTTTGTTCTATAAAACTTCCTTTGAACAACCAGAATTTGGCCAGGCTGAAATTATAAGTAAAAGAAAAAATATTGACATTTACCAAATTGATTTAAATAAGGCCTATGTCAAAAAATCATGAATAACAGAGGCGAAAAAGAATGGCTTGTTGTCTTTGATTGAGAAGAAAAAGTGTGTGTCAATGTATTATTTAGATTTTTTAAAAATTTATAACTTTTTAACCTAACGTTATTATTTCTTGACGAAGATTTAAGTTTGTTTCTCCTAAAGGTATAATTAAGTTTGCAGAAATTTTTTTATTTATTTTTTCAAAGTTCTAATTGATGAAACGTCTTGTGTTAAATTAAACGGTTTCATAATAAAATTGAATGGGTTTTATTTATCGACCTTAGTAATCAAGAAACACAGCAATAATTTCAATTTATTTTCCCTTTATTGTAAGAAATTAATAAGGATTTTTTTTAGTTTGCCCATAATTTCAAGTCAAAATGGTTACATCTGTAATTTTTTGACCTGTCTGTATTTTTTCTTCTTAATGAATAATTTTTTCCATTAAAATACGCAAGAATGAACTTCAAAAAAGCTTTATAGAACTATCACAGTCGTTTGTTTAGGAGTTAGCCGACACTTATTGCTATTGTTACAATTCTGAAAAATAACCTTACTTTTAGTTAAAAAGAGTTACATCTTTTTTTTTATGAAAAAAATCATGTCACATAAAAAAAACAAGATATACCTTTAATTAAGACTGGTTTAGTGCAAATACTTGGAATAACAGTTTGCATTCAAGTTTTTTCATGATTACATACAAAGCAATTATCTACTATAAAAATCTAAAAATGCTTCTCCTGTAAAAATTCATTTTTTGAGTTGTAACTCTTTTCTTCCGAACGATCAATATCTCTATTATTTAAATCATGGTAACACTCTCAGAAGAACCAATAAGCGTCAAATATCAGAGATTAAACAAATAAAAGTTTAAGAACTAGCCATAAAAGTAAGTCTTCACTATAACTACTGGTATCATTATCAATGTCTTTTTTGAAGTTTATTATTATAGGGTCTATTAAGTTTTTCATTACTATATCCACTTTCCAAAATGAATTTTCCTCCTTTTTAATATGATGTTCAATGCATGTTCTCCAATGTTCTCCATTTACATCTGAAACTGCCTTCAAAAACAAATTTCGCACATAAGGTATTTTATTGTTTCGAGAAACATAATTGTGATCAGATCATTTCAATGGGATTTAATTCTGCTTGGTAAGGAGGCAATCTAAAAATTATAATATAATGCTCTGTAACAAATTTTCAAACATACGGCCATCCATTTCTTCATGGTAGTCTATTGTTTTAATTAATAAATCATCCTGCAAAATCCATCCGTGCTTAATTTCACCACAGCTACAACTTGGAGAGTCAAGAATACCAATTCGGAACAGATGAGCAGAACTGTAGCAATGACCAATTCTCATTCTGCACATTGTACCGATTTGTCCCTTTGTTAATATAATTTTAAAAACCAGTGTGTCCGAGGCAGTTTTTCTAGTATATTAAAAAGATGCTTTCCCTTAGTTTGACTCAGTTCTCGCCATTCTTCACTCCAATCATTCCAAATTTTATTTTTAACACTGGGTAGCATATTCCATTGTCATTACGTCAGAATACTGTTTATTGTGTCCTAATTGAGGAAGTTTGTCAGCTATGACATTTCCCTCAAGGGCGTAAATAAGGGAGGTAATCGGAGTAATTACCCCCCCCCCCAAGCCAGTCAATATCAATATTTTTTTAAACGTTATATTAAACAAAAATAGGGAGATGAAATAAATACAATGAAACAAAGAGTTTCTCAAACATTGTCATTTAAAATAATAATATTCCTGCAAATTGAAAATTAAAATTTATATACAGGGCCCCATTAGTTTGTAATTGTTCAATATTTCAATTAGTGTTATTGACAAGCAAACAAGTTTTAATAAAAGTTTAATGGATTTGAAAAATACATATTTTAAAAC